CCTGGACTTAATTTTAGCGAACCAATACTAGCTGCTGTAACTTGGGCAACTAATAATTCTCTTGTTGCCGTGTGGATGAATAGAAGGCAAAACCAAGCAAACGTGGTTGTTTATGCAGATTTATCTGCCACTCCAACAACGGTGAGTTAGTTAACTATTATCTACCTAATATGTTAGCAAATGCAGGCGATTCAGTATTGATGTCACTACATATAATGTGCCCATAATTATGAAAGTGGTCTAAATAAAAAAAAAATGAGTATCAGTTATTTCACACCACATTATTTTTAGCTAAGTTTATTCAATGTAATTTTTACGATATCGTCAAAAATTAACCATTAGATTGTCGTCGTAATTTCAACATTATGTGGAATTCATTTAGTTAATATTATGAGTCAAGTCAAAAAATTAAACAAATCATATAAACATAACTTGAGAATGGCATGTGGCCCCCTTGGACGCTTTTTATACCACCCTGAGCATTGTTATGAATTAATAGAAAAGTGTAGAAGAAGAACTACATTATCGATGAAATTCGGATTTTATTTGAACGAAATCACTAGAAGAATCAGCAAGTAGAGCAAAAAAATAGCGCGAGAGAATCTGTCTCTTGGCTGTAAATGCAATTGATGGGGCAGAAAGACCCATTGGGTCGATAGCCTTTTTCTGTAGGAAATAAAGATTATAATATATGCAATTGATGAGATTCTTTAAAATTGAACCTTATAAAATTTTATATCAAAGTTCTTTAGATGATTGTAAATTTCACGTTTTGGATCTWYKAGCKYWACACARAACGGCTGCTGGGTCKACKAGYRMATGTGACTATTGTCAAAAAACTCTTCTTAATGCTCTAATGTAACATTAGCAGATTGTTGATTGCAGCAAATAAAGTAAAAAAAAAATATTTTTTTAAAAGAACTGTTAGAATACTATAAAGTTAGCCAATGAAATTAAATAATTTGCAAAATAGTTTTATGTATATAAAAAAAAAGTTTTTAATCAATATATATTTTTTGAAATATTAATAGGTAAAAGCAATCGAAGAAACAGCTGGTTGGGTGGAACTATTTGTGCCTCCTATTATTTCCAAAAGTGGCACCCAAATGGCTTTATTGCTATCTAAAAATGAAGGAACTACCACTGGCTCGTATCGACATTTGGCTCTTCTTGATATAACCGACGGTGCAAATGCAGAATTTCTTACTAATGGTACTTATGTTGTTACCGAAGTCCTTGGCTGGAACCACGATGAAAATCTGATGTGAGTAATATTTTGAAACTATC